CAAACTCCACCCAGAAAGGCCCCTGGACCGGGGTTTGAACCAAGGACTTGCTCGCTGAGAGGCAGCATCTCTACCAGTTGCGCCACCGTGCTGCCCTACATTGAGATCATTTAACAAAAAAAATTAACTTATTACACCAGATATATTATATTATATATATATTGTGCAACTTAGTTCGCTGTGGTGACCCCTAATGCAGGGAGCAGCCGAAAGAAAAAAAAAAAAACACCAGATATATTAAGCGACATCAATGCAAAAGTAAAAGTCTCAAGACATACATTTTATTAATTCAATTCAATTCAGTTTATTTCTATAGCACCAAGTCACAACAGAAGTCGTCTCAGGTCGCTGTACAAAAACATTCACATACATAAAAAAATCCAATTAGTAAAAGTTATCTAAGGAAGCAGCAGATTGAGGTGAATTGTCATTTCGTCGCACTCTCCCATCCTGAGCAAGCACAAAGAAAACATTCATTCTTTAATACTTTATCTTGTGCATTAGAGTTCAATAAAACCCATCCATCCATCCATCCATCCATTATCTTTTCCCCGCTTCTTCCTTATTGGGTCGCGGGGGTCACTGGTGTCCAGATCCAGCTATCACTGTGCGAGAGGCGGGGGACACCCTGGACAGGTCTCCAGTCCATCACAGGGACACATGGAGACCAACAAAACCACTCTCTCACTCACACCTAGGGACAATTTAGAGTTACCATCCATACATCCATTCATCCATCCATCCATCCATTTTCTTTTTACTCGCTTCTTCCATTTTGGGTCACGGGGGTCGCCGGTACCCATGTCCAGCAATCACTGTGCGAGGGGCAGGGTACACTCTGGACAGGTCGCAAGTCCATCACAGGAACACATAGAGACAAACGAGACAAACAACCATTCACTCTCTCACTCACACCTAGGACAATTTAGAGTTACCAATCAGCCTAACATACATGTTTTTGGTCTGTGGGAGGAAACCGAAGTACCGGAGAAAACCCATGCATGCACTGAGAGAACATGCAAACTCCACCCAGGAAGGCCCCCGGACTGTTTTTGACACCTTCTCTGGGATATGTGGAAAAACTTTACACCCATCACCACTCATCTCCCTGTTTGGGGTGGTCCCTGTGGATATGTTCTTCAGTAGGTACAAGAAGGATGTGATTTCTTTTGGCTCTCTTTTGGTCAGGAGTCTTGTTTTGTGCAATTGGAAGGACCCACACCCCCCAGCATATATACATTAGATAAGAGAGGTGATATATCACATTCATCTGGAAAAAAAAAGATATACCCTAAAGACAACAAAAAAGGTTGAATCATGTCATCTGGACTTTGTTTTTTTTGTTAAAAAGAAACGTTTCGCCCCTCATCCAAGAGGCTTCGTCAGTCTGAGGCCTAGCCATCTGGTATTACCCAGAAGCCACCCTGACTCTTGTGTTTCAAGCCTGCCTCAGATACCCCTGAAGTCTGGCCTTTTCACTAATGGTTTCAAAAACACAAAGTTTGTTTTCTCAGTCATCCAGGTATATAACAACAAAAAAGGTTGAATCATGTCATCTGGACTTCGTTTTTTTTGTTAAAAAGAAACGTTTCGCCCCTCATCCAAGAGACCCTAAAGAGTTCTGTTAAGAGATTTTTGTCAGGACTTGCAGGAGCAGATTTGACCCAATGGTGCAGGCAGGGACTCAGAGACTCAGCAGGTAAAAATAAATACTTTTAATCACAATGAATCAAAGAGCTGACACGGCAGCATAAACTTACAGTATGGTGTAAACAGGACAGAACTAAGACAGGATCAGAACAAAATAAGACCATACCCAATGACAAACCGACACTGAACAAGACTCACAGATAGACTTAAACACACAGAGAGACAGGGCATGATTACAAACAGCTGGACATGAGGCAAGGGTGATACTAAAGGGTAAATTAGGAGACACACCAGGGAGTACAGATAAAGGAGGCCTACCAGATGGCGCCATCCTTATAGTACTTTCAAGGTCGCCCCCTGGCATCTCCAAAAAAGCCTACCCTGAAAGACTTGGGTGGGAGGAGGGAGGAACTGCAAGGACAGAGGGCCCAAAGAAAACACTAGGGAAAAAAAATATCAGCATGACCAAAACCTGGGAACCAAACTAAACAATCAGGGAACACAAAAAATGTCTGGACAGTTAGGAAACCATTCCAAGAAAGGTTATAGTTCAGGTGGGCGGCTGGGAGGCCATCCAAAATGCTGGCGCGGCTAGAGCCTGGACGAGACATGGAGCCCAGACGAGGCATGGACCTGAGGCGATGAGAAGGACCAAGGCAATGCACTTGGACGAGGTGACAAACCAAGGTGGAATGATGGACTAAGGTGAGATGATGCTGCTGTGGGACCCTCTGGACAAAACGTGGACCCTTTGGACAAGACATAAACCCTGGATGAGATATAGACCCTGGATGAGACATGGAGACTTCGAGCAGCATGGATACCTCGAACAGCGTGGAGACCTTGAGGATGTAGAACACTCCTCAGCTGCCACAGGACCCTCAGGGATGCAGCTGCCATGAGATCCTCTGGGGATGCAGCTGCCCTGGAACCCTCTGGGATGCAGCTGCTGACATAGAAGCCACCCTGGGAGCTGCATGCGGCATGGACCCCACAGCAGGAGGTGGCATAGAGGAGCCCACCTGGACCCCCCCTGCCCCTCCCCCTGCAAAACTTTCCCCGGAGTTTCAGGTTCAGTCTGAGGAGAGCAGGATGGAGACTGGAGCCGAGAGGTGACAGGACTGATCTTTCTGGGAACTCTGTGCGGGAGTGAGGTGCCAGATTCCATCCTCACCAGGGTCCTGGAAGGCAAGGCGTCTGGATCAGCCCTCATGGAAGCAACAGAACAGGGTCCAGGAAATTCAGCCTTGCCAGGCCGAGTCAGATCAGTTGCTTGTGTCAGAGATGTTGGTGAAGTTCCCGTAGACCATCTCTGGGTTCGTTTTCTGCCACTCCAGCAGCGACGGTGGGAAAGGAGGGCAGGAATGAAACAGAGCTTCATACTCCAGCATCCATCCCGAATAGCCGAGCAGCCCAGGAGGTGCGGAGAAGCTTGGTTTGGATGCCTGGTGTTTCCCCCAGAGCTGAGACCATTTCTACTCTGAGGAACAGCTTCTACCCTGAGGTTGTTAGACTCATGAATATCTAACCAAGATAATCAGTGTGAAGAATCACATCCTGTTGCTACCGATCTGTTTCATGTTGCTGTGTTCATTCGTGCTCATCTGCTCACACAGTTTCGTGCTGCTTTTCGGCGTATTGTGTTTATTGTTTTTATGCTATTAGTGTCCTGATGCATGCTCAATAATCCAGGAAGAAAATCTAAAAAAAGTTAAATCTGGTTTTGAAGTTTTGAATGTCCAGAGGACCAGACTTAACTTTTTTAGATATGCTATTAGTGCTTAGTGTATGTTTAGGTGATGTTTTTCTTAGTTCATATCTTATCTTATTATTGTTTTTCTTTTCCACTTTATTGCTGGATGTAACTGGGACCTCATGTATATAGTTTTGTTCCACCACATGTACCACATGTGGTGTGAACGACAATAAAGAATCTCTGATTCTCTGACTCTACTCCTCCAGAACCAGGAGAGGCGAAGGCAGGACTTTGACCACCAGACAGTGGCGTCCTTGTGTTTGGACGGGTTCTGTCCAGAACCCGTCACACTGGATCACGGACTCCCCCATATGGCTGGTACAGACAGGTGAGCGAAGCTGAGGAGAACCTACCTGCTGGGTTCTGGATCAGGATCAGGACACGAGAAGACCATACCCAACAACGAACCGACACTGAACAAGACACACAGATAGACTTAAACACACAGACAAGACAGGGCATGATTACAAATAGCTGAACGTGAGACAAGGGTGAAACTGATCAGGTTAATTAGGAGACACACCAGGGAGTACAGATAAAGGAGGCCCACCAGATGGTGCCATCCTTACAATTTTGGGACACGTGAGAGCCTTTTATGTTATATGTCGAAAACTTTTCAGTGCCTGTTTGATCCGATGTGGAAGGCAATGGGTGGGGGTTGGTGTTTTTTTTTCTTTGTTCTCTGTTTTGGTGTTGTTGCTGTTAAAAAAAATACTTTGTTTAAAAAAAAAAATCCTCAGACACTGGAGACAGCCAGTCAAGATTAAAATCAACAGCAAAGACTATCTCATTGAAATGTAAATTTGTTAGGAAGTCCGTTAAAGACAGTAGAGCCTCAGAAGTTGCTGGGGAGGGGGGTGGGGGGTAACAGCCCACAACAGTTAAGGCCCTATTTACACGGACACGGTGGGGGGAAACATAGGTTTTTTCATATGTTAATTAGAGGAAAAGATCTGCGTTGACACGGTCGGATTTTGTGTTTACATGCATCCGGAGGAATCCCCCCACCCCACCCCACTGAATCTGCTGTAGTTACCATGCTGAGTCATTAGATGGCGCTGTGAATTTTGTACCTTCACCTAATGCGCATGCGT